GCACCCTGTCACACACAGAGCTGCAGGGCGATCAGGGGGTTTGGGCGCTGCCCCCTGTCATGCTGATCCCGGTGCCGGGAGCCTCGCTGCTCCGCTGATCCCGGTGCTGGGAGGCCTATTACCCTTTTACTATATAGGATAGAGGCCTGGTGCATGGGTGGGGGCTGGCTGGTTTGCCCTGAAGGGTGTCCTGGATCAGGGTGGGGGTCCCCACTGGGGTGCCTGGCCAGTCTGGGTGAGGGGCTGAGGGCTGTTTTCCGGCTGGCGAGTGACTAAAGCTTCCAACCGCTCCTTGTTTTCTTCTCTTTTTTTTTTTTTTATTCTGGGCCAGCTTTAGCTCTGAGGCCTCGCTGCTGAAAACATAGATACAATGTTGCAGTCCGAGCCCGGCTGCATGGAAGCCCTTTTCTGGGGTTTTGTTTAGCTTCTTATTTGCAACATAGTATATAGTTGCTTAGAGTTGCAACTGAGAGGCTGGCAAGTTAGGCGGAGAACGTTGGAATCTGCAGCAAGCAAGCCTCGTGCTCGCTTCCGTGCCTGGCTGCCGGCCGCCATCTTGGCTGACAGTTAATTTGCATATACTCACTGATTAGCCAATGAAAAGGGTAGCGGTCGTACGCCAATTACCATGTTTCTCTTTTATTAGTGTAGATAGGCTGTGAACATGAATGAAGGAATGAATATAAGGCATTTCCCTGAGGGAAGTTTCTGGAACTTGCTCCTGGGTGACCTTGAGCCATCGCTGAGCTCCTCCAAGGTTTCCTTTGCTCTTGTGTGAAATGAGGGTTTGGAGCTGGTCACCCTCTCGGCCTCGTCAGCTCTGATCCTAGAGCAGCCATGGGCAAACTACGGCCCGCGGGCCGGATCCGGCCCATTTGAAATGAATAAAACTAAAAAAAAAAAAGACCGTACCTTTTTATGTAATGATGTTTACTTTGAATTTATATTAGTTCACACAAACACTCCATCCATGCTTTTGTTCCGGCCCTCCGGTCCAGTTTAAGAACCCATTGTGGCCCTCGAGTCAAAAAGTTTGCCCACCCCTGGACTAGAGCATGGCCCTGCCAGCCAGAGTCGTGCGATGAAACAGGACGCTCTCCTGTGCCAATCTGTTTTGTTCTGGCAGCGGGAGGGAAACCAGGTCAGTCCCTCAATGGGATGGACACCTCTGTGTATGGCCAGGTCTTCCTCCGTCTCAAGGTCATCCTGGTGCAGCTTAGGGGTCAGGCTCAGAGAGCAGGTGCTGCGCTTGGAAGATGGTCCTCAGCCGAGCTTTCCTGGGGGAGCCTGGCCTGACGGATTCCTAAGGAACCTGAGGAGGGGGTGTGGGGGCACCTCCTGGTTAAGGAAGAAGCCCCGCCCTGGGAAGAGATGCAGTGGGGGTGGGCCCATGGTTGGCGGGAGGCTCCTCAATGACAGGGCCTGTAGCAGGTGAGTGTGCATGCGTGTCTCCATGCTTGTGCATGTGTGTGCGTGCACGTGTGTCCATGCTTGTGCACATATGTATGTCAATGCATATCCATGCATGTGCCTGTACATGTGTGTGTGTGTGCCTGTGTATTGACATGCTTACTAATGATAATTTGGGAAAATAAAATGCCCCCACCCAGAGCTGTGCTGAGGACTAGAGCTGCCTGCCTCTCAGGCTCCTGCTGCTCTGGGCAGAGAAACAGGATGGCCACCATGATATTCAGCTGCAGAAAAAGTGTGTCCATATCTCCTTTTAATGCATTTAAAGTGTTTTATTGATTCTATAGAGGAAGGAAGGGAGAGGGATAGAGAGCAGAAACATTGATGGGCTGCCTCCTGCACGCCACCCACCGGGGATCAAGCCCGAAACCTGGCATGTGCCCTGACCAGGAATCAAACAGTGACCTCCTGTTTCATAGGTCATGCTCAACCACTGAGCCACACTAGCTGGGGACCAGTCCGTATCTTAAGTCTTATGTACTGAGCGAGATCTCTAGTCCCATTACACCTCTATTTAAAGAAAGTTTTCCATAAGCGCTGTGATGGGCTGAGTTGTAGCTCCCCTTCCAAATCCATATGCTGAGCCTGAACCCCTGCGACAGCTGGACTCAGAGCCACCTTCAGGGAGCCTGTTAAAGGTAAGTGAGCTCCTAGGGGTCCCCATCCCATGTGGGAAGAGGGAGAGCCGCCAGAGCGTTCTGTGTCTGTGCCTGTTGGGGAGGCTGCAGCCGGGCGCAGTGAGAAGGCAGCCATGTGCAAGTCAGGAAGAGAGACCCTCTACCCCCAGAAACCAGCTCTGCCGCTCCCCTGCCTCAGACCTGCAGCCTCGGGAGCGGTGAGGTAGCGGAGGTCTGTGCTCTAGCCCCATCCGTTTCTATATTGCATGGCAACCTGGGCTGATCGTTGCAGAAATGGCATCAGTGAATGCACGGCCACACAGCCACAGACTCCCAACCACAACGGGTAACAGCTCAGGCCTCTTCGGAAAGCAGCCCACACAGGCGCAGACCCACAGGTCAAACCCGTGCTGCGTAAGGCTCAACTGTACATGCACACCCTAAAATATCATCTGTATTTACCGAGGGCTCGTAATCAGAATATCAAATCCCCTCAAGATAGGTCTTATAAAACAAATTGGGGAGAAATGTATAAAAATATGTACAACTTTTAGAAAAAATGTGTTAAACTAAATACAATATTCTTGGAGAAGTGGAATTGAATGTACACATATTAAATGTAAGCATAGCATACAATTGTTCTTTGATGTTTTGTATGACCAGGCACGATGCCTTTTATCATGCAGATATTAACAAGAGTGTTTCCTGTAAGCAAAACTTGCCTGTGGGTGTAAAGTATGGCCTTTTTAACATGGAATACCGTAACAGCAACTTCAGTATAAGCGCAAATGCCGCCGTAAACAGTTTCAAAGCAAACGCTCTGAAAACGTGCTGTGTGCTCTGGTTCACTTTAGAATAAATCATAAGTGTTTTGAAACACCATCTCCGTGTTATTGCAAACAGGACAAGCCATGCTCTCAACCCTCATTGGCTCGATGCCTCTTTTATGACTTCGCTAAGAATGTGTTCATTAAACAGAATGTACATCCCAGACAAAGAGGACTCCTCTCTCGTCTGGATGATCACACCACGTGCCCTGGGATTTAAACAAACAACTAAGATGATCTGTTGTTTATGTGGAATAAGGGGAACTAGCTAACGTTTGTCTGGATGCGACCATGAAAACGTAGGGCACTGCAATTAAAAATGTATTAACTTGAGGGGGGAGGAGAGAGAGAGAGAGAGAGTGAGAGAGAGAGAGAGAGAGATTTGTGGGTTTGTTGTTCCTCTTACTTATGCATTCTTTGGTTGATTCTTGTATGTGTATTGACCCGGGATTGGGGATCGAACCTGCAACCTTGTGTATTGGGCCGATGCTCTAAACCAGCCGTGGGCAAACTATGGCCCGCGGGTCGTATCCGGCCCGTTTGAAATGAATAAAACTTAAAAAAAATAAAAGACCGTACCCTTTTATGTAATGATATTTACTTTGAATTTATATTAGTTCACACAAACACTCCATCCATGCTTTTGTTCCGGCCCTCCGGTCCAGTTTAAGAACCCATTGTGGCCCTCGAGTCAAAAAGTTTGCCCACCCCTGCTCTAAACACTGAGATACCCAGCCAGGGCCTAGATACTGCGACTTTAACAAAGGTAGTTCATGGATAGTTTTGTTGAGTTACTGAGTGGGTATACACATTCAGTGGCCCCCAAAGAGAGGAAGTCTGTACTGTATTCTTAGCCCTTACCCAATGGTGAGTAGAACATCACAAAGACTCTCTAACCCCAAGGACACTGACTGCACACATTTCCCATCTATGAGCCATGAGGGCGGGCTTCACGGAAGAAGACCGAGTTAGCAGGACCTGCAGCACAAGCTTCGCACAGGCAGGCTCAGCGAGGGGGACACCAGGCAACGAAGTCAACACGTTCACATGTTCTGGAAAAGAGAGATGGAAATTGTTTAGACAGCAGGGAAGCTGCGCTTCCTATCTCCTTTGATAGCGCAATTTTACGAAATTTCTCTCTATAAATTCTCTCCAAACCATTTTCAAATGGAAACAGCATTTCTCATGTTAACCCCAACAAGGCCCGCATCGACCCGTGCCGCTTCCCGTGGCCTTGTCTGTCTGCTGCCCTCACTCCTTCCCCACGGCTCACGGGAGGCTTCAGAGAACACAGCCCATCACAGCCCCGAGCGCCTGTCTGCAGCCGAGGCTTGTCCATGAACTTCCAATTCTCCCCTCGGCCGCCCCACAAGCACCTCACGCTTAAAACGTCCAATGCTCATTCCTTTCCTGTATTTTGTTGTAAAAACAAGAGAAAGCCCCAGATTCCAGTGCATCCTTTACCACCACAATCTCCGCTTCATAAAGCTCTGCACAGCCGGTGTGCACCGCCTGCTGCCTCTCTCCCTCCACACGGGCGGGGTGTGGGCTGTCTCCAGGCGCTGGGCATTGTTGCTGCAATAGCGCTGGGGGCAGCCCTGCACATGTGTCTGGTGTGTGTGTGTGTGTGTGTGCACGTGCTTGTGTCTGTGCACGTGCTTGTGTGTGTGCACCTGTGTGTGGGGGGGGGGCATCTCTGGGCAGTATATACAGGATGCCAATAAAATGCAAGTACAGCCCAGCCGTGTGGCTCAGTGGTTGAGCACCAACCTATGAACCAGGAGGTCACTGTTTGATTCCCGGTCAGGGCACATGCCTTGGTTGTGGGCTCAATCTCCAGTGTGGGATGTGCAGGAGGCAGCCGGTCCATGATTCTCTCACATCATTGATATTTCTCTCCCTCGCTCTCTCTCCCCTCTCCCTTCTTCTCTGAAATAAAAAATACATATTTTTAAAAATGCAAATACAACCATTATTTTTATTAAAAACACTAGAGGCCTGGTGCATGAAATTTGTGTGGGGTGAGGGGGAGGTCCCTCAGCCCAGCCTGCACCCTCTCCAATCCAGACATCCCTCTCGCAATCTGGGACTGCTGGCTCCTAACCACTCACCTGCCTGCCTGCCTGATCGCCCCTAACCTCTCTGCCTGCCTGCCTGGTTGTCCCTAACTGCTCCCCTGCCTGCCTGATCTCCCCTAACCTCTCTGCCTGCCTGCCTGATCACCCCTAACTTCTCCTTGCCTGCCTGATTGCCCCTAACTGCTCCCCTGCCTGCCTGGTTGCCCCTAACCATCTCTAACTGCCCTCCCCTGCCAGCCTGGTCACTCCTGTTGGCCTGGTTGCCCTTAACTGCCCTCCCCTTTTGGCCTGGTTGCCCCTAACTGCCCTCCCCTGCTGGCCTGGTAGTCCCCAACTGCTCTCCCCTGCTGGTCTGATCACCCCTAACTGCCTCTGCCTCAGCCCCCGCCACTGTGGCTTTGTCCGGAAGGACATTCAGATGGATATCCAGAAGATGTCTGGTCTGATTAGCATTTTACCCTTTTATTAGTATAGATTCCCTAATGGCCTCCCAGCTCTTGCTCTATTCAGTGGGCTTCCCAGTCCATCGCCAGCACAAACTCTTAGATCCTCAACCTCTGCTTGGAATCCTCCCTCCATGCTCTCTTTCTAACAGACACCTTAGTGCCTCTGAGCACCCTGCTGTACCTGTGCCCTTCCAGGGAGTGACTGCTGTTGTCCTCCCAGCCCCTCAGCCCCTGGGACCCGGATTGGTCAGCACCTTCCTTCTTCCTCATCCGGTTCAAGCCTTTAAACCACTGTGTCTTGATACACATGCCATCAGGTCCTATAACCCTGAACTGCTCCTGAGTTGTCTAGTCATGCGACCAGTTGGCATCGTCTAACCTCTTTCTGAGTTTAGGTCCTGGATCTTTGTGACTTTCTCCAGCAGTAACCACATGGTGATGTTTGGAGAATCCGATAAGGATATGGCTCAGACCTTCACATCCGGGGTCCTCAGACCCTTGAACTCATCTCAGCTCCCGCTGCGGGTCAACGTCTGATGGGGTTGTTGCTGGAACGGGAGCATCCTGGTTTTAGCATGTCTTTCCAATCAGCCCTCTCTGGGCCTTCTCTCACCTCCCTCTGACTCCTTCTCTCCCCAGATGCTCAGCCAGAGCCCTCCTGGGCACGGTGCCCTGGCTCTGGGACGCTGTCAGGCTCACGGCTTTAAGGAGCATCTCTATTTTGATCAGAATCCCATATTTATATCATTACATCTTCAATGCAGACATCGGTTCTAAACACTGCAATCTTGCCTCCCCCTGAGCAGTCACAGACATCCCCGGCTTTGCAGGTTCAAGGCCGACTCTTGACATTCACCCCAAACAATCTCTTCCTGCCACCCTCTTTCCATAATGTTCAATGCCTGTTTTTATCCTGTGGCTGAGGCAGAAAGGGATCCACTTTGATTTTTCTCTTTCATATCCACAACTGTTTCAGGACCAAGTGCTCCTGACTCGTCGGTTACAGTGGAGGGAGAAGCTGATGATGCCTCACATCAGCTCCGGTTGCTCTCACCTGGGCGACAGCAGCAGCCTGTCCAAAAGTGGGGTCCCAGGGACCCCCCTTGCCCCAGGAAGACCCTCCTGCACTCCAGTATAGGGAAGTTTGTGACGTATTTCATGACATATACATTTTCTGCGTAAAATTCTTAAACAGCTTTCACTCAGCCTAAAATCGCTGAAACTAACTGCACAGAACTCCATGCCACACAGGGGCACTCCTCTAGCCTGTCCCATCCTCTCCATCAGGTTAGCAGCTAACCGTTAGCTTGAATGTCAACCTTAATGTCCCTGCATAAGGAAAGATGTCCCTGTGTTAACATTGTAAACCCTTTGTTATATATACTTCACTTTTATAATATTTTTTTGAAAATATTTTTATTGATTTAAGGGGGAAAGAGAGATAGAAACATCAATTGTGAGAGAGAATCATTGATTGGCTGCCTTCTGCATGCCCCCCATCCCCACCCCCACTGGAGATAGAGCCTGCAACCCAGGCCTGTGGCCTGACCAGGAATTGAACCATGACCTCCTAGTTCACAGATCAATGCTCAACCACTGAGCTATGCTGGTTGGGCACTTTAATAATATTTTTATAATTATAATTAAATAATTGCTTTATTCTTTATTTGCCCTTTTTTCAATAAATTTAAGTTCCATGAAAAGCAGGACCGACCATGTTATTTTTCCTAAATATCCATTGATAACTTGTCAAGTTACCCCAATAACTATGGAATGTTTAAAAATGATATCCAATAATTATATGTTGAGTGAATTCATTTTATAGAAGGAGATCAATGCCTTATTTATAAATGCTACTTAAGTTTTTGACATATAATCAATGATTATTTTTTCTTTGCTGATGAATATTACAAGGCATCTCAGTAATATTGATTATCAAGGGTAATATCACTCATCAATTTATCACTTAAATTTGACAATACTTGCAATAAATTATGCATTTGTGTACATTGGTGTAAATTTCTTAAATGACCTATGAGTGGCAAGTTTTAACTTGTTAAATGATTGTTTCATCTAATGTGAATCTTAAAGTCGTCTCTTCCAGTTTTGCTTGTAAAGTATCAATGGTGGAATCTATCCAGAGATTGAAGCTGAGTGGCAGAGGGAAGCCATTTTTCTTTCAGAATTTACTCCCATCATATGCATTTGGTCAATGTCACAAATCATGCCTTGATTTACATTTATGTTTACTCTGATGTTATAAAGCTCATAATTTCTGAGATATGGCACATTATACTTTAGTAGAAATTATACGGTATTAACTCATACTCCTGTCATTCAAAATAAGCTATTTTCTTAGATTGCACATGAAAAAAAAATTCCCCGAGGATTCCTAATATGTATGCAATGTAGTCTCCAAAGTTAAAATTAAAAAAAAAAGATTGAACTAATGTAGCTTATGAAAAGGCTCTATAATATATGCTCTTACTGTCTCAAGAAAGAGAGAAAATATACACCAAGGCCATACTACTTACTGCAATCGACATGTTAATCATCTCCTATAGAGCATGGCCCTCATCTCTATGGGACACTTGCTTTTCCCACCCAGGATCCTAGGCAGGAAGACCTTCGCATCAATCTCCCAAGAGCAGCCGTGCCCATCCAGCCTGAACCCACTATAAAACATGTCTTTGCTATGAAATCTCTGCGCTAAGCAGAGCTGAAAATTCAGCTCAGGTTCGTGTGGGAGGGCAAATGGCTCTATTTGGTCTTGACCGAGTTTTAACAGATTCACTGAGGCTAGAAAATTGGGTAAAAGCTTACTGTTCCTGGATTCTGCACTTACTAATCTCCTTGATATTTATGGTGAAGGAAACACGTCCTAGACATTTCAGCCAAAGCTTCATCAGAGGTCAGTATCAGAAGAGACCTTGTAAATATTAATTGTAGGATAAACATTGTTCTGGAATAAATAAAATTAAAAGATAGCTTTCAGCCTGGCCAGTGTGGTTCAGTGGTTGAGTGTCAACCTATGAACCAGAAGGTCACTGTTTGATTCCCTGTCAGGACACATGCCCGAGTTGTGGGCTCGATCCCCAGTGGGGGGTGTGCAGGAGGCAGCCAATCCATGATTCTCTCTCATGATGTTTCTATCTCTGTCTCTCTCTCCCATTTCCTCTCTGAAATCAATAAAAACACATTTTAAAAAAAGATAACTTTCAAAAAATTAAGCCTGAAATATATATTATCCCTAAATAGATAAAATATCTAAAATTTAATAAAAGTATATCATGTTATTTTAAGAAAGCTTCACATTATTTTCTTACTTCACTGTATGAGTTATAATATACTAGAGGACCGGTGCACAAAATGCGTGCACTGGGCGGGGGGCTGTCCCTCAGCCCAGCCTGCGCCCTTTCCAATCTGGGTCCCCTCGGGGGTGTCCGACTGCCGGTTTAGGCCTGGTTTAGTCCCTCTCACAATCCGGGACTGCTGACTCCCAACCGCTCACCTGCTTGCCTGCCTGATTGCCCCTAACCGCTTCTGCCTGCCAGCCTGATCGATGCCTATCTGCTCCCCTGCTGGCCTGATTGCCCACAACTGCCCTCCCCTGCCTGCCTGGTCTTTCTCAACTGCCCTCCCCTGCAGGCCTGGTTGCCCCCAACTGCCCTCCCCTGCAGGCCTGATTGCCCCCAACTGCCCTCCCCTGCCAGCCATCTTGTCAGCCATCTTTGACCACATGGGGGCGGCCATCTTGTGTGAGGGTGTGACAGTCAAATTGCATATTACCTCTTTATTATATAGGATAATATTTTTAAACATGTAAATTGATTTTTTTTTATAGAGAGGCATGGAGAGAGAAACATGGATGTGAGAGAGAAACATCGATGGGTTGCCTCCCATATGTCCCTGACCATGGGTCCAGACCCACAACTGTTTTGGTGTATGGAACAGTGCTTCAACCAACAGAGCTACCCGCCAGGGTAATATATAATTTTATTTCTCTTTTTATAAAAAGTGTGCCAAACAGAACATCATAAGAGAAACAATGCTTTTTGTTATCTGCATTAAGGAAACGAATTAACACCTTTTGATGTTGGGAAATCCTGTTAGAAAATTTGATTTATTGAGTGGCCTTTGTGCATTGACCAAAGAACATGTTATAAAATAGATATAAAAATATAAAATAAAAGACCTATCAGCCAGTATCCAGACTTGCCTAAAATACATCCATGTGACTTTATGAATTACAGTTTACATACATTTACTATCACTTTCCTTTGCATTTTAAGCTGCCATATTAACTTACAGAGTGAAGAAAAGATTAGAATTTATGTGTCTATTTTTGAACTAAGTCTCCAAACAGGAATGGAAAGTTTTAACAAACTTAAAATACACAAAGAGATGAGCTACTGAGACATTCCTCTGGCCTACAGACTGCGTGTCCTTGGGGATCCAGGACAATGACATACAACAGTTTTGCTGACTCACAGGTTCATGTAGCGGCCCATGGAAATGCCGCATCAAGTTCAGGGCCATAACCCAGGATGGGTCTCAGGTCACACCAGATGGATGCAGCCGAGAAGTGCCGGGCCCACATCTCCCGCCGTCCAATATTTCACAGCCTAATTGTAATTGTGCATCATAAACAAGCACATGCTGGTGAAAGCTCCACCCACACTCCTCTGAACCTGGTCTGGCCTCCGGGCACTGCCTCAGAGGCTCCAGGGGCTCCAAGCTGGGCTGGGGCCCCCAACCTCTTTCCAGAAACAGGGCCAGCGACCTCCCCCCAACTTCCAATCACACCGGGGTGAGTTCTCTACAACATGGGGTTCCTTCCTGACTACCTGATACTGAAATAACGGGAACACTCTTACGTCCCATCTCTGAGCGATGCTTTCCCCTCTTCCATTGCCTTTTTCATCACTTGGGACATCAGAGGCTATTGTATTCATTGGGAGTCTCCCCGGCTACATTTTAATCCCCAGGAGATTTGCCCATTTGATTCACTACCGTGTCTCCACGCACCTCTGTCGTTCAGAGTGTTTGATTCAAACGTATACGTCGCACACACATTTGTCTTTATACTTTTGATCTCCAGGCTGCCCGTGTTTTAATGTAAACGGTTTGTTTAAAATCATAAGCGCGTTGTCTTACACTTTATAGTGATAAGTTAGATCATTTTAATGGGACTGATTTGTGTGAGTGCTCTGGGAAAGAGCTCTCATTTTCCCAAAATTGTCTCAGCGCCGTTGTTTTCATGGA